CAAATCTTGCCAAGAAAACCCAGTGATAGGGTTGCCATAAACTGGAAACGATTTGAAGAAACACAACAACAATGCCAAGCAGAAATTCAACAGGTGAGGCTAACACATAGCTACAATGGATGGTAAAGATTCACATGAACTCCTGTTGGTTTGTACATGTAATATACCGTATATTGGAGTGGAGTGAGAAATCTCGGCAGCTTTGGTGGGTACAGAACACAAAACCTAGCCAATTGCCTTTTGAACTACAGCTGCCAGGATTCCCCAGCCAGTATGGATTATAGCATCCTGAGAATCCTACAGGATCATGAGGAGCTGACTTTGACCTGTTTAGCCCAGTATTGCCTGGTCTGATTGCCAGAGGCTCACTAGTTTTGCTGGCATAGATCTTTCCTATCACCTGCTACACAAGTCCTCCAAAACTAAGGATTAAACTCAAGACATGCAAAATGAGCTGTCCCTCTGTTTTATTGCTTGCATGCAAAATGAGTTCTCCTTCTATGTTATTGTCTCTAGTATATATAAAAAATTCTTCTAGTGTATATATATAAAAATCTGGCAGATTTCTAGTATTTAGGGCCATACAGTAAAGCTTCAAAATATGTGAGCAGTTTTTGCTGCGGCCGCAGACGCTCAAGCACGAAGGGCTAAATAGGCAGAACTGAGAGATTCCAATGCTACACCTTCCAACACTGCAGAGATGAAAACCAGAGCATGTGTGGCTGAGCAATGTTCCAATGTGGTCAATGAGGCTCCAGCAGTTTGTTTTTGCCTTAACCAACTGGGCAGTGCCTGATTCCATCCCTTCCTCTCCTCTCCCCCTTGCTTCTTTTGCACTTTGATATCAGGTTGCAGCAACTGAAGTAAGCTGAGACCAAAATGGGGGAAGTGGGAAGAGAGAGAAACTGGGACATTTTAAAAGCAACTGAAAAAGGAGGACAACAGATAATTAATCAGGATTATCCTTGTCAAATCAGGACAGTTGGTGGGCATATGATGCCCTGCATAGCTCATGAATACCAGAGGCTTTCAAGGGCAATGAGAACTTGAAATTTAATTCTCTCCCACCCTGAACAGTTATAACACTGATACCACATTAACTGCCATAGCTCCATCTTATGGAATCCCAGGATTTGTAGTTTTGTAAGTACTTTGAATTCTCTGCCCAAAAGCTTTTATGATGTAAGAGGTGTTACATAAAATAACAGTGAGCCCTCCACTTAACTATAAATCTGTAGGACACAGCCATGGCAGTTAGAGTGGTATCAGTGTTACAATTGTATAGTGTGAAAATTATCTTAAGGCTCCATTCACACTATGAAAATAATTTGGGATTAATCCAAGTTGAATCTTTGGTGTTCACACACGTCCCGAATGCACTCAATGCACTTTTGGGAGGGCCTGGCAAAAAAACCCACTAATCCCAGGATATTTGATACCAGGGTTTTTTTCCTGAGTTTTCCTGAAAGATCTGCATCAATCCACATCATTGGCAGTGTGAATATGGTTCTGAATCGATTCGGATTGCTCTGTATGGTTAAAGGAAGGGAGGTGGCTCCTTTTTAACCCAAAACGTTGGTATGTGTGAATAACACAAGGGTTAAAATTACTCTTAAGAGATTCTCAAACCCAAAACATAATGGGAACAACAAATCCGATACGCATCATGAGTGTGAATGCCCCGTAAGATGCAGCCATGACAGGTGAAGTGACATCAAGTGCAGGGTGAAAAAAATCCTAGTTTAACAGACAGAAAAGCCTAAATGATAGAGTTTCTCAAGGGATTTTATATCCAGAACTGAACTCTGCATTTGAGTATTACTTGTGCAAAAGGGTAGTATCTCATGTGCAACTGTCCTCCATCCTTCATGTAATTCCAGCAATCAGGATCTGGGGAATGGAAAGGAAGAAGGGCTTTGGAGGGTAGGGGACTGATTCCTTGATGCTGAGAACCTAGCAAAGGTTTTCCCATTCTCTGCCAAACCACTACAGAGTAAGCCCTGGGGTAGCTAGGATTCTTTTTCCTTTCATGAGCCAGGGACCCTGGAGCAAGACTCATTCAAGGCAAGCCCAGTTTTGCATCGTTTAATGTATATACAACATCAACAAAACAGTTCGTATTTGCCTGGGGACCCAACAGTGGAGAAATTTCCCATTACCCCTAAGGCATGTACCGCAGTGGTCGGCAATGCAATTACCAGTTTGGGACAGAACAGTGGCAGGGAGCCAAACCTCTTCCGTCTTCAGCTCTGTTGCTCATTCAGAATAACTCTTAGCTGCCTGAAATTAAGTGCCTCAGATCAGTTTCTGCAATGATCAAAGCCTGAAACTGACAGCACTTGGAAAAGTTACATTATGATTCCTAAAAAAAAACCCAGTTAGCACATCCGTTCAAAAAGTTGTAATCCAAAAAAGTAACTCTTCCAAGCTTTGTTTAGCACAAGCGTACATGAGATGAACTTGATAAAAACACAAAGGGGTTCTGTTTGTTCTTTCTTTGTGCCTTTTGGCTTTAGCAATCAGCCAATCCTACTGAAAACATTGTGGAAACCCCATGAAGATTTCCTCTCCAATTTTTCTGGGGGATTCTGGAATTTGTATTTCATGAAGTAAAGCTGCCAAGTAACTAACCTGATTTCACCCATGGGCTATCAGTTCCCAACCAGGGCTACATGGGCTACCTGTTAATTTGCACTGTACAGTTACCATGAGATGCAAGCCCAGAGTCTTGGCACTCATATATAACCTAAAGGTACAACAGGAGAAGTCAACTTTGCATAACAGTTGCAAATGTTGACTGAGATGTATGGTTGCAAATTTGAAAAAAATGATGGATTTCAACAGGGAAACAATATATCTCATAATAGTGAAGAACTATCTTTAGGTAAACTGTGCTGTCCAGGTGCTAAATATGGATGGGAGACAGAGCAAATGTGGTGCAGTGGTTTGAGCATTGACCTACAACTTTGGAGACCATAGTTTGATTCCCTGCCAGCCATGGAAACCCACTGGGTGACCTTGGGTGAGTCACACACTCTTAGCCCTAGAAAACCTTGTCATAGGATGGCCATAGGGTCGTCATAAATCAGAAATGACTTGAAGGCACACAACAACAACAATATATTGGCTGGTTCCTGCCTCTTCTTTCTTATGGTTATTTATCTTTAAACTGGACTCAGGAGTTTATCACATGGGGAGGCCCGTGCAAAATCGCTCTTTAAAGTAAAAAAAAAAAACCCCGCAAAAGCGGAAGCTTTTAATGAATGGGATTTCTCCCATTCTGCCCTGTGTGAAATGTGAAAGTGCTGTTAAAAGGAGGTTAATCCAAACGGAAACTAGACAAAAACTGCTTCTTTTTACTTTCGGGATCTTCCGAAAGTAAAAATAAGCATTTTTTGTCTAATTTCCATTCAGATTAATTTCCTTTTAACAGCAATGTCATTTGAAAAAACACCCGCTTTTGCAGGTTT